GTAGAAAGCTGTCTTGGTCCTGGGTGGCTGCTGGTGGTTTCAAAGTGCCAACCATGCGATGATCACACCCCAATGATTAACCACAACAGACACCAGACCTCCTTAGAGGGTTGTTAAAAGTTAGAACCAAATCCATTGTCATCTACTGATTTGATTCCAATTCGTTAACAACAGGGTGAGACAGTAGAATCCGCCCTGCAGGATGTCCACGGCTGTAGTCCTTACAGATGCTGGCTGCCGCAGCTTTCTCCCGTGGACTGGCAGGCGGGTTTGAACGGCCAGCCTTTAGGTTAGCATCAGAGCTCTAACACTGCTCTACCTGGGCCTCTTTCGAAGTCAGAACAACAATGCACACACAAAAAACCAACAGGCCCTTTTGGAAATGGGGGCAGTTGCAACTCAACAATTCACTCTGCCTTTGAGTTGATTACCATTCACAGTGACCCCATAGATTAGGACTGCCCCTGTGGCTTTCCTAGCCTGCATGTTTACAGGAGCAGAGAGCCTCATCTTTTTCCTGAGGCGTGGCTGCTGGTCTTGAACTGCTGACCTCACTGTTAGCAGCTCAACATGTAACCACTATGCCATGAGGAGGACTCCTTTTTGGATTAGAGGCCTGGGCTGGCTGAAATGACAAAGGCCCCCCCATAGTGAAACTCTTTGAGTTTCTCTCCCTTTAATTGTGAATCTCTTTTCCCTGAAGTTATCGTTCCCTTGTAGTTGACCTGGGAATGCTGAGGAGGTCATGCTGTTTGGGTTCATCTTTCGGTTCCTTTGGATATAACTCCCAGGTTAACGTCGTGTAACCAGTTACAATGACTGGCGTGCCCGTGGAACCAGTGTTTCTTGTCATCCATGTTAGAGTGTTAAAAATGTCTTCTCATTTTTCCTGGTGATTTCTTTACCGAAAGTCCAAACTGGGTACCTCCCAAGGCGAAGAACGCTAATAAAGTATTTCTAGTGGGTTGTTGCTTTAATTCCCATCTCCCACCCCTTTCTGTTACTTTAATTTTTCCCTTTTATATAATGACTTTTTTTTTTAAAAAATCTGGATTTCCCTGCAACATTTTACT